CCAGGGACAATCGCCTCTGGAGACGGTCATTTTCACTCGAAGAAAAACAGCTACTGAAGTGCATGGATAAAGATGATCATGGCTGCAGACACGAGCTCTTGAGGATTGTGAAGGCCATCGTCCATAGGGAGAGAACATCCCTTGGACAACTAGCATCTTACTACCTGAAGACGGCCTTCATGCACTACATCAAAGAGAAGCCTTCCAACTGGAATGGAACAAATTCATTGGGGGAACACTTTGTGGGGTTCTTGGCTGCATTGCAAGCTTTTCTGCAGAAAAAAAACCTGCCAAATTACTGGCTTCCTGAAGTAAATCTCTTGGATGAGATCCGCAACCCGGTGGTTGTTGAGCAAATGGCGTGTCGTTTGAAACGAATTCTCAACAGCGAAGTAGAGCGAAACAAAATACTTGAATAGCTTAAAGGACTCTAAAAATGAACTGGATATTGACTTAGTTTTGGTGTATTTTGTGTTGATATTTCTTGAGTTCATCAAAAAATGCTCGGAAAATCTGCTAAATCAGCATGCTTAGCTAATTATTCAGTTGTAAGTTTCTCTTCCCCAAGACGTTTATTTTACAAGATCTTTGAAGGATGTTGACTGTGGTTGCCAGTCGATCAATTCGTTTAGTAATAATGGGAAATTTTCAGTTATGTTACATGGATTCTCTTCTTTGAATTTGCTCTTTAGAAGTCAATGCATGCTCGTCCTATATTCAGCTGTTGGAGGTTTTGCCTATCTTTCTGTGTCTCTCTCGCTTTTTTTCGCAGTTAAGTTCTCGATGGCGAGCTAGCGAGAACGATTAATACATACCGCCAGAGCGCATGGTCTTCCTTTCAAGTGCAAAAGGGTCACTAAAATAAGTCATAACAATCCTTGTTTCAGGTTTCTACTCCAGGACGGTACCCCTTTCTTTAACTAGCGAATATTGTAAACCCTGAAACGACACAAGACCTCGTTGGGTCAAGCATGAGTGACCTTCTTCCTCCCTCCTCCCCACCAAAACCCAGTAAGCGCGTTAGATCATATATCTAATGAATTTTGCGCTATAGAAATAATAAAATTATTATTAAATTATAAATCCCTGCGCCAGCTATTTGTAGGAGAGTATCAAAGTCGAACAAAAAGATAATGACTGAACTTTAACAACTGCTGCAAGTATCCAACTACAAAGCAGCTATTACAACCCAAAACTATTGCCTAAACAAGTTTGCATTTTTCAATAGTTACTCGGTTGCAAGTAATTACCACATTAGGGCAGTTTTCAGTTAGGTGTGGAAAACCCGATCGAAACCAAAATAATCCCAGCCATCAATCAGAATACCGATAGGTGGACAGATATGACGCTAGTTTTATTCAAAACAGGTAAATTTCCGTCGTTGAAATTTTATTCTTCATAAGTTCTGTTGAATTTTTTGAAAGGAAACTGCATCAAACTAATCGGTCCCATATTTTTAGTTGGCAAGGCATATAGGAAACGGGCCCAGAAAACACGCATAACATTTTTTTTACTAATACAGCCTTAACGAGCCGAGAATTATCCCTCACTAAAAGACAAGTTTGATTTTTTCGAGAGAAACTTACCAACCAACGTTCTTCTTCATCATGGAAATCGTCCTGTTGTCCTATATGTATCGATTTTCTGCATTGACTCAGTAATGAGTTGTATATTATCTGAAGCAAAATCACACGCACTACAATGTATATAATGAGCAGATTCCGGAGTGTTTTAACTGATCTATCCGTCTTCTTATGAAAGAACATTATTCATTTCTACCTCACTATTGAGGATTGCTTGAAGACGATATGCCATATTTCTGGTAACTACTTGATTGATATCATCTAGGAGGTTCACACCAGATAACCAATAGTGTGGAAGATTTCTCCGCTCCAGAAAAATCTGTAGTGCTCGAAGAAATCCAGAGAAATGGTTCCCCAGCGCGTCTCCACTGACCCAGTTCTGCAAACCTCCTCCCTTTATATAGTGCATGAAGGCGGTCTTCAAGTAGTATGACTCCAGCGGTAAAGATGTTGCCTGCCTCTTAACCAAAGTTTTCACGATTCGGAGGAGCTCGTGCCTACAGCCAAGATCTCTGTCCATGTACTCCAGGACTTGCTTTTCCTGTAATGAAAAAGACTGCCTCCACAGAAGCTCATGACTAGACACAGAATGTCTCCCTTCAGTGTAAGGCTTGGTAACATAGCAGCTCTCCCCGACTTGGAAACAAGGAACGAGATCAACTGGTAAAAGCTTCTCGTTAGTTCCTTTCCTGAGAATGTCCAGCTGTATTGCTGGCCCGTGGTAACGAACAACCAGACGAAGGAGTCTCTTATCGCAAAA